ACAATGTTAAGTCATAAAAAAATAACTGTTGTAGTCCTCAGCAATTTTTAATTCCCCTTCCTTCACCAAACATCTGGGTTTTGTTAGAAAACACTGTAAAGCGATTTTCCAAAACCTTTGACATGCATTCTGCTCAATAGGTCCCAAAAGCTCAGGAAGGAGAGCTTCAAACCAAGTAACAGTTGTTATTTATTAAGCCCCAGTAATGAAATTGGTCTAACCATTTTCTTCTGTCTAACCATCCCCTATTATTTCAAGGGAAAGGGGATAGGGATGTAGCATGTTAAAATGATGCACATTTAATCAAAGAAAAGGACACCCTACACCAAGGAAGCTATTATTCAAGCAGGCTTAGTCTGGTGAGCCAAGAAAAAGCTGCCTCTGCACAACTGAGGCCTCTCAAGGTACCTATGTGATTAAGTTACTTCAGAACAAATTAGTGCTCCGTGAACTGATTACACCATAAATAAGCCCAATAGGAAAGAGAAAAGCCACTGACAGACACAGTTCCCTCCCGACAGCAGCTGAGCTCCACAGCTCTCATCCAGAATGAACACCAAAAAGCTGTCAGTGCCAGAAGGATTCCTGGTCTTTTTACTCAAAATTCACAAAGTATGTCAAAGCAGATGCAATATCTACAGTAGATAACTAATCACAAGAATCCTATACTTTCATTTTCTCTCATCACTCAAAGCACAAATTGCAGCTCTCTCCCCGACCTAATAATTATTCGTATGGCTGCATTTTGTTCTTCTCCAGTAGCAGCATGAAACTTGATGTGAGCTGCAGGAACCCAGCCAGTGACTATACAAGCTGCTGTTGTGACAGCATAAAGCAGAAGCCAACTCGGCAGGTAATTGGACTTCAAGTCGTTAAGATCTTCCCCCGTCAGCTTGAAATAGTAATTTCATAGGGGAGAAAATAGGTTGTCTTTATCTACCACAGGTAACCGAAGGAAAATTTTGATCTCAAAGACAGACAAAATAAATACCAAGACATAGCACCCTAAAAAGGTATTAAAGGTGGGAGTTTTTTTGTACTCTGCAGCAATTCAAGAGACATTTGCAATCTTCTATCAAGTCAGAATTAAGAATACAAGCACTTAGGTGTCAAAGTACAACATCCACTTGTAAGAAAGGAGTACTTCTAGTGCTTGCTAATTGCATTCTCTTGCCCACTGACTCAATACTTCAGAAGATTTCAAATACCATACGTGCTGTTACAATAGAATTCATTCATGCTTCCAGAATAATCCCAGGGAATCCCGAAGGGCTAATGTCAACAATTCATTCTTCCTGATGCCATACTTCCAGTAACTCAAATGCACATGAAGCTCCTTTTTCATTTTTCTAACTTTCATACCAATGGAAGTAATTTCAATTAGAAACCAAGGAAGAAGTCTAAATGTATACCTAGAGTCATGGGGGATTACATGACTTGAGTGTTTAGTGTCACCAGTAACCTCACTGTTAATGCCAGCTGCCAGTACCCCTCACAGGATACTGGGAGTTCTCTCCCAGTAGAATTAAAAACTCCAACTAATGACCTCCAACAGTGAGTTAATGATGACTATGAGGGGGAGGAAACAGGAATGAAGATCCACCTGTGTTCACATGAAGTAAGTGATAACCCAGTGGCCCACTGAACTCTTCGATTGGATGTGTACAGGAAAGTGAACATCTTCTCTTGGCAGAAATTGGGATCATACAGTTTTATTTAGACAGGGCATATTACTCACCTACTTAAGATCTTTAAGACAAACATACTGTCCTTAAATTTTTTTTTGTTTTTTTACAAGCACCTCTTTACCTGTCGGACATGTACACCCCAGACCAAAAAAATTCCCACCCACCCCCCTAAAAAACCCTCCCACATCCCTGCCCCAAAACCTAGAGCTCCAGGGTAGTATCCTGTAATTTCCAGGTACATCCCCCTCTCACTTGAAGTTCAGCACTCACTGGAAAATTTCTGCACAAGTAAACCTTGTAATCATCTCAGCACCAGCAGACCTAGACTTGAGTTCCATAGCATTAACTATAGTGAATGAAAGCAACTGTTGAGACAACTCAACCAAACAAAATAAACATTACAACTAACTTTTGATTCTGTTAAATAGCTTTAATAGCTTGAAAATAAAAATCAGCAATCTTAGCTATGTCATGATAGGCTAGTAGTAAACTTACACCTAACAATTTGGTAGTCAGAGGAAGGTTTTCACAGATATGATCATGACTGATAACAGTCTGTCTCTTCACCATAAGACCCAAGTCGATGCAAGGAATGGCCTCTCCTGTGAAGAAGACTTGAAGATTTTGAAACAATCTCTCTTGCCTAGCAAAGGGCATTATTAAAATCTTGAGTAAGTGTCACACACATGTAATGAACAGTCTCACACCCCTCCCACCCTGCCATGTACACACAAAAAAGACACAGCACAAGAGTTAAAGCTTCCTTTATTACAGTAACACTAATTTTGAAAATGAAACGTCTGTCTCAAACAAAGTCTCAGTTTTGTAAAATAGGGGACACTAGAAAATTTCCTGAATGGTGCCCAAGCACAGAGTTAATAAAATAGGTTTTAAAGTCAAGTGCTTAATATTGAACATACATGCACATTTTAGTACTCTGAGAAAACTTGAGACTTATTACCCCATGCAGTGCTTTCTCCCCCAAATATACCCATACACCCTCAGAAGGCCAAACAATTCTGAATTTTCTTCGGCACCTCCAGAAGGCAGAGTGGCAAAAAACAAGCACTCCAGTGGAAAAAAAACAAAAGGCACTGATTCATATGCAATTAGCTCAGCTAAATTTACTACTGAAACCATTGCTACTCCAGCTGTCCTTGACACCTGCATAGCAGGGAAAATGGAACATGACAAGCATCCTCTTAGGATCTATTGCAGTTTTCAGGCTGACACACTAACTGAAAATCGGTGACAGTTACAGTTCTTGAGCTGCTGCATTAACAGAATTAGCACAAAAGCAGCTATGTACCTCATTCAAGCATCCATGCCACAGCAGAGACACAACAAATGGAGACAGTCAGCGCTTTACCCACCTCTGCTGAATTCATCACCCAAAAAGCATCAGTACTCTGAAAATAACATGTTTCTCTCTACTCAAAGATCCAGTTTACACAGTGACAGACAAGCAAAGCAAAACAGAGAACGGGATCTGAGAAGTCAGAAGGAAGGCCATAAAGGGAGGAAGCTTGTTAATATCCTGTGTAGCACAAGCTCCCACCGTTTTATCTTCCTTAAATAAGAGTTAGACTGAAAAGCTGAGAGCAGAACAAAACTTTTGAGGTCAAGTTCCACATTATTTTCTAAGAACAAAGCAGCTCACTTTTCTCTATGAGTCTTTGTTTCTGGAATCATCTACAGAAATTGTATGCAGAAGCCATCCCTAGTAAAACATATTTAGGCTCTGCTATTTAACATGTCAGAAAAGCCTACAAAAGCATCTTAAAATGTAAACGTCCTTTCTGTGCATTGAAAGAGCACTAACTGAAATCCACTGCATCACTGTTCTGGCATCAGGCCACCAGCCTTGCCCCAGACAACAGTATAAATACACAAAAGCTCTTTTATATGGGTTCAGAGAAAGTGCAAAAGAATACATTCAACCTGACATGTCTACCTGAATCCAAATCCTCAAAGGAGGGGCTTTAATGTCTCAGACCCTATGCTATCTTTATACAGGCACTAATTTGTACAGCACACATATTTTATCTGCCCTACAATAACAATGCAGATGAACATTAACCAGATACCTTGCGGTGTCTGCCAGGTGTTTAAATATTTTGCAACTCAAATACTGAAATACTATCTGCAGTCCAAATGTTTAAGATTATCCAGTGTATATTTCCATCAGCTATGGAAAACACTTTTCTTTTTTCCATGTTACATTTTAAGCAACAAACCAGAGTTACCAACATATAAGCATATAGTACAGGCATTCTGTTTTGAAGCTTGATTTCATCAGGAAGATTTGACTCACAAGTGTTTTCATTTTGAGAATACAAACAGTGAAAAATATCTGCAGAAACTTTTAATCCAAGAGACTATGTATTTATCTGCACTAAGCAGGCCCTATACAATCTTTAAAAATAACAAGCTCTGATATTGTGTATTTTGATAAGTTTAGGTATATACTGTGTATTGTATACATTATAAAAGGAAACAATCCTGTACTCTGTATTAAAAAATATTCTTAGCTTGGTCTAAGTTAGACAACACATTTCTGAGACAGGTGCATGCTCTCTCCCTGCCCCAAAATATAATTTTTGGTAAAAGTGATGTTCACCTCTTACAAACCACCCACTTTTCTGACTGTCACTGCAAAAGTCCCCCTCCTGTTTGGCCAGAACTCTCATCACTTCTTGCTTCTAGGAAAAAAGGTTTGACAGAAGAGACAGGATGACTTTTTTTTGCTTGAATTATGTTCCACCAGCAGAACTTTAACCCAGACAGTTCTATACGTTAATATATTACTATGTTAATATATTTACTTTACTGCTTTTCCTCCTTCGCCTACACTAGACTTCAAGTGAAAACATACACAATATCATTATCAGCAACAAAAATGAAAGGCCCAGAGGGATCACTAAGTTTTTTATGCCTTTGCAGTTATCCTTCTGAGAAGAGACATACCAATCTTACACTCCAGTGAGAAAGAAATTAAAATACTTCTTGTATTTGCATCATGTGACTATTTTATGGCTCAGATAAAGCCATCAGCATTAACAAAGTCAGCTGTCTGAACAGGGACAGAAAGGTCAGATTAACTCATACCTGAGGTTAAAGACTATTTTAAACAGGTAAGTGGATTAAAGATATATACCCCTAGAAAGACAATCCACTGCAGACTTCTCATTTAAACAAATACATCTGGCTACCACAGAATGAACTGGCAGCAAGGTAAATCAGCAGTAATAACAAGAGTCATTCTCCACCCAGGATCATCAGAAAAACAGGATTTGCCCCACTGCCACATACCTTCGATGCTTGAGGAGTAGAAATCACGTGAACGGTGCTGGGCTTAACTCCATTTGCCTTAGGTCGCTTATAAAGGGCAAATCTGCTTTTCCTGCGTCCTCTGTCACCATTAGGGAGGGATCCATTATACCTAAAATTAAACAAAAAAAAGTCTGGCATAAAAGACCATCAAATTGGAATACAGGAAAGAGCAGCAATTTGGTCACAATAACCTGATGTCATCAAATACTTTCTTTGGTTTTGACCGTGCAACACAACCATGTTAAAGTTTGTTTCCCGAATTATGAGCACTCAAACATTCTTTCCCTACCAGTGGTTGAAATTTTACTCATCATTTACACGGTCATCAGCTCCAAATGAAATACCATTCAGCCACAGAAAAATACTTCAACTCTAGAATTAAAGGAATTTGGGAGATCCTAAGTCTTTCCTGTCATTTCAGCACATGGGGAGTTTTAAAAATGTCTTTATCCTACCAAACTCTTTTCACATCTCATGCAGGAATGGAGAAGACAAGAGGAAGAACACAGGCAATTCAAAAAAAGTAATTTTGGGGCAAGTTCAACTAAGTGAAAGGGAATTTTACTAGCATTGGAGTTTTAGTTGGTTTTTTTTTTTCCCTTTTTATTTTAAACTCTAATCCTAAAGGCCTCATCTATTATTAAGGAAAGAGCATGCAAGTGTTTTTAATTTATGTGAATGTATCAGAAGACTTGCTAATGACTTCCTTTATCAGGTGTAACATAGTAGCCTTCAACATTTCTTTCATCTCTCTGAGGACAGAGACCCAATGGACTAATTATTCAGAGAAGACTTAAGCCTCAAGGGGACACGCTCCTTCCCCAGGGAAGGACTCAGCTGGAAATTTCTTTGCAATGCATAAGAATTGAATTCATCACCACCCCACCCGTAAGATTTAGGACAAGTAGATGCTTCTCTTCACTGTACTGTCCCCTGTAACATTCTTGATAACTCTCAACTGCTCTGTGAAGATCTCTCAGGGCTTTACTGTGTAGATGCCTCTTCCATTCCTGATCCTCAGGGATTTCAGCCTTTTGCCTGAAGAACTACAGGTATTATTGCTCCACTTAAAAATCTCAGTTGTCTTACTGCTGAGGTCTATTCTACACTGATCACATATATCCCTCTCCTACAGTCTTTATGAATAAAAGCTAACATCGCAGTCAGGAAAAGAATCTGAAAAGAAGAAAGAGGAAGATTTAAAGGTGACTAGCTCCTTGCAAAGCAAAAGAGGTTAAAAAAAAAAGTTAGGAGAACTCATTATCTGCCTAGAGATATACTTAGAAGCAGTTCAGCTCTACATCCACCATGCTATCTGCAGATAAAAATCATTTGTAGCCCTGCAGAGGACTAATACTCGCTCACTGTTTAGGCTGTAAGAGCAGTTCTATGACAATTGCTGACTAGGAAAAGCAGTGTACTAACCCAAAACCTTTTGTTTTTTTTCTTTTGTCTTATCATTACATTCTGTATATGTAGCCAACTAGTTTGTGTAACAAGTGAATGCACTTGGAGAGCCCTGTATCCTTTTGCAAACAAATGAGAAATGGGTAGTGGATGAAAGCAAGTGGTCTCATTGTTAAGGTTCTGGAGCGCTGCCCTGCAGAAGGCTGACTGCTGACTTCAGGCAAGGATTGCCTGGTGTCACACAGGAAGAGTTTAAAATTTCACATGCACAATGTCTAAAAACCAGTGTCCTGAACTGCAGGACTGCTGAATGTTTGTGAGAGCAAACAAGCAGATTTAAGATTGAAATAATCTCAAATTTAAGCACTTTAGAACATAAAACCAGACTTTTTTTTTTAAATATACATTTAACACATGATCCCAAAGACACATAATAAGAGCTTTTCAACTGGGCTACAATTAAACTTGTTCTCTCACTCTCATTTTCATAGGGAAGGCTACTGTATCTCTCAGGGACATTACGAGATTCCCTGACACAGCAGAAAAACAACAGGAGTAAATCACTATTATTTCATGCCAGGCCTACTCATACCTTGGAAACTTGTTATTAACCCTACACAAGAGAAGAGTAGCACTCAGTTAACGCAGCAGATCCTGTCACAAGAGACCAATTCCTAGAAAGTTATATCAATATGATCCACAGGCAGCTTAAATACTAGCCCTTAAAATAGGAATTATTTGATTCTCCAGCTTGCATCTTCCTAGATATACACACATGCTTGCTTTCAGAGACGCTATCTTACCATGAATGTGCCAAGCAAGTTTTAACTTGCCTGAAGACAGCATTCTTTCTACACGTATTTTTGTCTGAAAACCCGAGAAAGCAATAACCCCTTCAAAAATAATATATAACTAGTGCCGTCTCTTGCTTTATATTCTGTAATTAAATTTTTTTGTATTTGTGTAACTGTTAAGCAGCACTGAATATTCCACTAGAAGTTAAAACCAGGCTAGTAGAGTTATTTTGTCCGGTTTTTCTTGTGTTCACAAAGCTACTGTGACTGGAAAAGGCTAGTTGATTTCATTTCAGGTGTCTGGGACTTAATATCTTTTTAAAAAGGAAGAAGCCGCTCAAGGTTAAAAGGCCTTTTGAAAACTTTAAATAGGAAGGAAATACAAGCAAAGTGAAAGTTTAATTCGTTCATCCTGATTAGCACTGACAAGTTTTCATGAAGGTTTCCTTTGCGCCAATTTCTAAATTTCATTTGCACAAAAGGGCAGGGGGAACCGAGTGGTAATTCTACTATTTGTTCTGCTTTGATCATGGACCTGCAAGTTTTATTTTCATCTGACACTGGTAAGAAGAGGTAGGACAATTACTAGGCGTACTTATGTGCTTTACAGGAATAAAGTGAGTGTCAGAGAGCTTGCCTTTCCCCTCCACAGCCAGCAGACACCTTTTTTTTTTCCCCCCCTGTCAGGACTCTCACCTTGTTCACCACAAACCAACCCTCCCCATGGCACTTGGGCCACACCTTTCCTTGCCATGACCTAGACAATCTACATACCAAATGAACTGATATTAATGTCATGGGATCTCGACAACCGCAACAGGACCTGCACCCACCCACCCAGTGTCTCTGCCCTTGTAAATGTACAGCTAAGGCTGCTCTTGAAGCAGCAGAACCCACCTTCTTGGCAAGTCCCTGACTTTCTCCCTCACAGATCACTGGAAGACTCCAAGGTTCCCCAGAGCCAACAGGAGCTTCATAAACAGAACAGAAGCTCCTTGTTGAATCTTCTCACAACCCCACTCCACGGGCATTGTCCCATTTCCTTTCTCCCTGCACGCTTCCAATAGCTCCAGAAGCCCGATGCACCTTTGGGAGCAGCACACTAGTGAGACAACTTCTTGCTCTGCAAGATGCCAGCACTACCAAAGACAACCTGCAGCTGGAACCCTCCATCCCACCAAAAACCCTATAACAAACATTGCTTCCAGCTCAGAAAACTAGGAGAAATTCAATTTCAGAGACAGAATAATCATTTCTGAGACCATCCTGTTCACAGATCTAAGAGGGACTTCTGAAGTTCTCCAGATGTTCCAAAACATCAGACCAACGCCTGTGGTAAAAGCAGCCCTATACTTTTTTCAAATGCTTCTCAGCGACAGCAATACTGCGACAACCAGCATTATGAAACCTTGTGGGATAATTATCTCTGTTGATAGCACTATTCCTTGCAAATAAGGGAGTGGTGCTGGCATAGGCTATGGGCACCCTAATTATCAAAGCCAGTTTCCTACAGATTTACATCAAACAGTCGAGGACTTTGGTATATAATGAAATGCAAACCCCAATTAAGTTTTTCCCATGGTTGGGATATGTAATGAAAGCCTCTCCTCTGCATGGATTCATGGCTGTCTGGAGAGCAAGACCACACACGCTCTCTCCCACAGTCCGAACACTGTGGCGAGTTCCTATTTTCTAAAAGTCTTGTATGAATATATTTGACTACTTCAGAGATCATCATCAAGTTTTGAACCATTTGTGGGACGGCTTGTTGCACAAGCTTGTTTGGTTTGGTTTGTTTTTTTAAAAAGAATCAGGCTTAGCCAGTGGCAAAGAGTAAATAAGACCTGTGTTCTAAAGAACAAGAGCTCTAAAAATCTTGGTCTGCACCTTGGAAAGTTAGACTTTAACTCAGGAAAGTCAACTTCAAAAGCAAGGGGAATATCTAGTAGCTAACAGACACAGAAGCTGTTGCATGTAACTGATTTTTACTTTTTTAACAAAGCTATGACAATATTAACTGTTATAAAATGTAAATACTCCTCCATACTTACGCAACCTACCTCCTAAAAGACTGCAAACCGAACAAGTCAAACTTTCACAGGTAGTATCTCCACTGGACAAAAAAAGAGCAACCTCAATTCGCTTTCCACACCTACTGCTAGCAGTTCTACTGCACATGCTGTCATTTTTAGACACCAACTACCCCATTTCACAGACTCAGCTCTGAACAGATGACATGCTAGAAGTCAGTTGTTACCATAGTTCTAACGCGCAAGAGAAAGCACATCTTTACCGTGCTAAACAATAAAGCTGCAGAAGTATCAGCAACAGCTTTCACTGTGACATCAGACTCCAGTGAATTTTTCCTTTTAAGTACATTCTGATTCCATGTTTGGTGTCATACAGTAGTATATACTCAGCATATATAAAGAATTTAGTTTGTGCTTACACCATAGTTTTGCCATCACTGAACTAGTGTGGGCCAACACCACTGCCAAAAGCAGCAGTCCCACCTTTCATTTGCTAGTTCGTTCCTGCTACTTCTCTCCTTGGTTCACATGAAAAGGAAACAAAACCAGATTTATGCTTTAAATTTAGTTTGAAACCACATCAATTCCTTGTTCTCCACTTCACCGCAAAGCCTCAAAAGCACTTACATTGGCAACAAGGCACAGAGGGCAGGAGAAATTACTCTGGAATTACTCTGCAAGCCTGCAGTTATCACGACATCTCCACTAGAAGTCTAAAGATACATTATTCCAGTCCCAGAGCTTTTCATGACTGTACACTGAAGTCCTGACTAACTGGAAAGCCCTCATATGCTGAAGCACCCAACATTTACTTCCTTGAGCACAGATTAAAAGGAAAAAAAAAAGCCACAAACTAGTTTATATCAAAACACAAACAGAAAGCTTAACAAACGCAATACTTACAACAAATAAGTGAACTTAAGTCTCCTTGTATGTCATATCACTGCCGTATTCCATACTCTTTACACCACCCTCCTTGTATCATACTGAACAATTCATTTTGTATCCACCAGAACTGATTTACTATTTCAGCCAAATAGTTTTAAAAAAATATCCAAACCCATTCAAAGACAGTACTTATTC